CACGAGAGGCGGTGGCCAACCTGGGCCGCTGCGGCCGTTCGAATGCGGCGCTTACCGATGCTTCGTTTGAGCAGCCTCTCTACGACGCTTCCGAGCTGCACGGCATCATCCCCGAGAACGCACGCAAGCCATTCGACATGCGCGACGTGATTGCGCGACTCGTGGATGGCTCGCGCTTCCACGAGTTCAAGAAGCTCTACGGCAGCACCATCGTCACGGGCTTTGCCAAGATCGCGGGTCAGGACGTCGGCATCATCGGCAACAACGGTGTGCTCTTCGGCGAGTCGGCCAAGAAGGCGACCAGCTTCATCCAGCTCTGCAACCAGCGACAGACGCCGTTGGTGTTCCTGGTCAACGTTACCGGCTACATGGTCGGCACCAAGGCCGAGAGAGGAGGCATCGCCAAGGACGGCGCCAAGATGGTACGAGCGGTTGCGTGTGCCAACGTTCCCAAGTTCACGGTCATTGTCGGAGGCAGCTTCGGCGCGGGCAACTACGGCATGTGTGGGCGCGCGTACAGCCCTCGCTTCCTGTGGATGTGGCCCAACGCCCGCGTGGGCGTGATGGGCGGCGAGCAGCTCAGTTCGGTCATGGGCACCGTCAGCAGCGACAAGTCCAAGTCGGAAGGACTGCGCGCCAAAATCGAGGAGCAGTGCGAGCCCGAGTACGCCACCGCGCGACTCTGGGACGATGGCATCATCCGACCGCAGGACACTCGGAGCGTGCTTGCGCTCGGCCTGAGCGTGGCCAACACGGGACGATGGAGAAGCTCGCAGCGCGGCGATGCCGGTGGCTCGCGACACCCGGCCTGGGACGGCAACAACTACGGAGACGGCGTCTACCGGTGAGTTTGCGCTCCAGCACACGTCCAAAACGGACCTCTGACATTTTGACGACTGGTCGTACACGATGGCTGACCGAAACGATCCCCTTTTTGCTTCTTTGCCCCACGCTGCTGCCACTAATCCACGACGACCAGAATGTGAGCGAGCCTTCACCTAGCATGCTATCGCTCTACACTGTACCCATCAATGTCATTGCAAATGCCTTTTCGAGACGAAGGCAAGGGACGCTGTGAGACATTGCTGAAGCTCAACGCTGGGTCGTTGGGCCGCACGAGGAGTGAGGAGCGAGAGCAAAGACCTAACACGTTCAGAATTTTTGCCGCTTTCTACGCGTCGCGCGACGCCGACCTGCAACGGCGTGTTGGACTCTCGCTCGCCAAGGCACTTTGGCTCGGCGTCCGAAAAAGAGGATCGAGCGTGGCCCCGCGCTGTGCCTTCCTGCCGCTCGACGACATCCAACACCTTGTCTTGACCACACTGAAGCCAGCGTGACACCTCCAAGGGACGGGAGAAGATCGCATTACGCGGTCACTGCAGCAGCGCAGTATGGCTAGCACTGCATTGCTCGAGGGCAATGGCCTCCTCGACATGGACGATGGCGCGGCGCCTTCCAACCTCTCGCAGCCCAGAGCCGACGAGCTCTTCCCGAGCACATCCAGCGCGCTTCTCGACCGCGATCTCAACATACCCAGCCTGCCGACCTCGCAGAGCGAAGCCCAAAAGGCGCTCAACGCGTGGGGCTCCCGCGCAGTGTCCGCCTCCAATGCTGCTGCCTACGCGCGAAGTCCGGTGCTCACCGGAGAGATGGACTTTGACGGCGACCTCGATCTCGACATGCTGCTCGACGAAGAGACAGCGTTCAACCGCGAGAAGGCCGGCCTGCAGCCACCAGCTTCCACGACGCGAGTAGAACACGACGACGACGACGAGCTCGAAGCTTTCCTGCTCGCCGAGGACGAGCACATGGCGTCTCGACCACCGCAGCCGCCCTCTGACGTATTGGCCTCACGCGCCCCGTCACAGCGGCAAGATGAGCCGGCGAATGAGCCGACGTCGACCCAAGGAGCCTATGCGGCGTCGTCGCGTGCGTCATCGTCCGTCTCGGACCTGCTCGAGAGCAACGGACTCCTCGGCCAATCCTCTCAGCCCAGCTCCCAGCACTCGATCGTCTCGGCTCAGAAGCCGCACCCCGCAGCAGCAGAGGTCCCCGTTGCCACCATCGCTCCAGGCTCGTCGCGCGCGATCGAGGCCTTATCAGCCTTTGAAGCGGAGAGCACATCGCCGGCACCTGCTCTTGCAGGCGGCAGCATCGACCACGCAGGTCCTTCGAGGCTCGCGACTCGCCCGCTATCCAACGTCATCCCAAAGTACATCCCGGCCGGCTTCCTGCCGGCAACCACGATGGACGGAACAGCGATCCGCTTCGAGCGACGCAAGCGTATGAAAGGCTGGAAACCTCCGGCCATCATGACGGACGTCGACGCATCGCAGCTCCTCGAGCGTCCCATCCATCAGCTGCTCGAAGCGGTAGAAGCGCTCAAGGCAATCGATGTGGTGGAGCAGAAGGAAGCCCAAGAGCGCCAGACTCGTCACGCAGCATGCTCGGCCGACGCTGACGGTGTCCGCAAGGTCGGCTCGCAGATGTGGGTCGACAAGCATCGCCCCGCCAAGTTCACAGAGCTGCTCGGAGACGAGAGAATCCATCGCGAGGTGCTGGGCTGGCTCAAGGAGTGGGACGAATGCGTCTTCAAGCGCAAAAACCATCGCAAGGAGCGCCATCGTCAGTACATCCAGGCCAAATACGGCCCCCCAACGGGCAGCTTCGGCGACAAGTCAGGCGAACACGCCTTCAAGGATCCTCATGGCCGACCCAAGGAGCGCGTCATGATGATCTCGGGCCCGCCCGGTCTCGGTAAAACTACGCTGGCACACATTGTTGGTGCGCATGCCGGGTACAATGTCTACGAGCTCAACGCCAGCGACGCGCGCTCGGCAGGTGCCGTCGAGGACGTGATCAAGATGGCGCTCGAGTCCGGCAGCTTGAAGGATCCTCGGCCGACGCTCGTGGTCATTGACGAGATCGACGGAGCTACGGGCGGCGGTGGCGGCGCTTCGGGCGAGTCGCACGGTTTCATCCGCGCGCTCGTCCGGCTCATCGAGTCGGGCAAAGGCTCCGATTCCAAGGCCGGCGGCCTTGCGGCACGAGGAAAGAAGCAACGCAAAGGATCCAAGCCGCTGCTTCGACCCATCATCTGCATCTGCAACGATCTGTACGCGCCTTCGCTGCGGCCTTTGCGACCCATGGCCAAGCTCGTCAGATTCCACAAGCCGCCCACCAACCTCGTTGTCAAGCGTCTGCGCGAAGTCTGCGAGGCCGAGGCGCTCTCGGTCGAGACTCGCGGCCTTTCAATGCTGGCCGAGCTGACCAGCGGTGACATCCGCTCGTGCCTCAACGCGCTCGAGTTTGCCAAGACGAAGAACATGGCGCTCACCGAGGCCGCCGTCAAGAATGCCGCGATCGGCATCAAAGACACGGGCGGCACCGTCCAAAAGGCGTGGGAGATGCTCTTCCGGCGTCAGAACCGCAAGCAGGCCGCTGCGTCGAGCATGAAGGGAGCGAATGCGCAGGCCACCAGCGCCGAAAATGCTCCCTGGAACTCCTCGCGAAAGGCCACGGCTCCGGAGCTGACCATGGATGGCAAGGACAAGCAGAAGGACTTTGCCCTGGTCGACACGCCTCAGGAGAACGTCAGCCGCATCATTCACGAGGTGACGAGCTGCAACGAGTACGAGAAGCTGGCTCTAGGCTGCTTTGAGCACTATCCGACGCTGCGTGCTGCTGACGGTGGATGGAAGCGATACCGACAGGTGCACGACTGGCTCCACTTCGGCCAGTGCATCTCCGCGCGTGCTTGGTCGAACGGCAACTTTGAGCTGCTCGGCTTTATGCCGTGGTCGTTTGTCTGTTGGCATCTGCTCTTCGCTCATATCGGCAACGCGCTGCCCGAGTATCCCAAGGTGGACTACGAGAACCACCTCAAGAGCTCGGCCTTCAATGAGATCGTATCGCAGATCGCAGCCGCGCTTCCGGCCGGCGTGCGCTCGCAGTTCAACCGACATGCGGTCATCACCGAGCTGGGGCCGTCCTTGGTGCGGATCCTCACTCCAGACCTGCGTCCGATCAACAATCAGCTGGCTCGCGCCGAGGACAAGCAGGTGTTCAGCTCGCTGGTCGCGGTGATGAACTCGCTCAACATCAAGTTTGTGCAGGACAAGGTCTCGGAGGAGGAGGCTGCCGTGGTTGGGCAGAGCGCCGGTACGCTGGTGTACAAGTTGGAACCGCCGCTGGACGTCTTCACTCAGTTTGAAGGCAAACGGTCCAAGGACGTTGGTCCGTCGCGCTTCGCCGTTCGCCAATTGGTGGCGAGAGAGATGGAGAGACAGCTGCTGCGCAAGAATGCGGGTGTCGACGGTGGAGAAGAGGACGCTGGCTCCACGTCCAAATCGGCCACGGCTGTCTACAGATCGAAGGGCGCAATCGCGGGCACAGGCCCGGATCCCGCCAAGGCCAAGGAGGGCAAAGTCGCTGTCGACTTTTTTGGCCGACCGATCGTAGCAAAGGCTGCAAAGGTAGAACCGCTGTCAGCGGTGCCCATTCCAGAGGTCATGGGTGGAAAGAAGAGAAAAGCGCCGATAGGAACGGGCGCCACTGCGGCAGCCTCAACGATGCAAGGCGATGCAACGTCGGCCTCCGCCGACGAGGCGTCCTCTGCTGCGAGAGGCGAGGGGAACACCAAAGCCACTGGCGATGCAGGCGACACGAACATCAAGGTGTTCTATCGCTACCACGAAGGCTTCTCGAATGCCGTTCGACGGCCGATGAAGATGTCCTCGCTCCTGTAATTTAATCTACGCGCTCATCAGTCAGAAATCTTTCGCAACTCTGCACTCGCCGACTTGCCCTGATCGCTCCCTAATGATGGACACATGTGAGGCTTTCTGTGCCGACAGCCTGCGCAAACTCGATGAGTACTTGCTCACGCACGGCAACATGGAGTGGAACTGTTCTTACAAGAGGACATGCATGGATGGATGACAGGGAAACGGAATGGAAGGAGAAGAGTCTAGTGCAAAAGGAGGAGCCGAGCGGCGAGATCACTTGTCCTTGTCGCGGCCGAAGGTGAGGCCGTAGCCGACGACGCGGTCACCGCTCTCGAGGCAAGGCCAGCTCTGGCCCTTTGCGTGCTTGGCGAGGACAAGGTCGACCTTGAACTTGGTGATGTTGAAGGACGACTCTGCGGGCACGATGGGAGCAAACGGCGTGAGGACCTTGCGGAATCGTCGCGGGCGAGTCGAGCCTGGTGCTGGAGGCAGGAGCAGGGAGAAGACGACGCCTTGTTCTTGAAATTCGATCGAGCTCTGACCTGCATCAACAGCCTTGGCGTAGACGGTGAGACGGACGTCGTTGGGCGTCTCGTAATGATCCATCCTGCAGTCGACACTCTCTTCACTGCCGGCGCCGGCATCGGTCTTGGGCGCGCCTACAAAGAGGTGACCGGACTTGGCAGTTGAGCAAGGCTCGATCTTGAGGAAGTCGTCAAAGTCGAGCACTCTTCGTTTGCAGCACGACCAGCCTTTGGAGCCCTCGTGGAAGATGGGGGTGCCCTTGTGGTGGTTGCAAGTCTCGCTGCTGCGGTCTCGCGAACCGCCTTCGAACTTGAAGCCGCATCCGCCTCGCTTGCAAGTGAGACCAGCGGGCAGATTCGCGTCCGACTCGACAGGGTCCTCCTCCTCGACAGGCTCTTTGGGCGCTTGCGCCTTGGCAGCGGTGCTGGAAGCTTGCGCAGCGTTTTGTGCGGCAAGCAACGACATCCCAGACAAGGGCTGAACGATGTCGGAGGCGGTGGTAGCGGCAGTGTCCTTGCCGAATGTTTCTTTGCCATCTGCGTCCTTGGAGACGAGATGGACGTCCGAGATGGAGCCGGCTGGCGCGGAGGCGTCTGCATCTGCGACCACCGCGCCGTTCTTGACGGTAGGGACGGTTTGCTTTTCTGTCGAGTGTGCGTCGGCAGAGTTGCAGCCGGGGATGGCGAGGAACTGGTCAAACTCCATGACGGGCTTGTTGGTGTCCTTGCAACACGACCATGATTTGAGACCTTCGTGAAAGACGGGCGCGCCTGGGTGGTAGCTGCATGAACCTGCAGCAATTGAGGAAGTGGTTGGGTCGAAATCGACGCCGCAGCCGCGGCGTGTGCAAATGACCATGTTTGCGGAAGCGGCCTAGGTGGTGGTGGATGATTGTGAAGCGGAATTCAGTCGGATGTCGTCCGAGCCCAACAGACAGCTTCGGCCCGGCTCGCTTTCTCGGAAATCCGTGCAGTTCTTCGGACCTGGGCGGCGGCATGGAAATTTGTCGAAGCCACCGCGGCTTGTATCGCCGATGTCAAAGCGTACAAAAGCGATCATCGGGTGGATTCTGCAATTTGGGCGCCGCCCGTTGACTGTTAGAGTGAGTGTCCAGACGCGTCGCAGCCACCTCGGACCTCGGCGAGGCCGAGATGGAGGCTCGGACCTGACTTGAGTGGCGGATGGTGATGTGCGCTGTACCAAAAACACTGGAGCCGAGATAGAGTCGGAGTCGGAGATGAGATGATTTTGACCAGCCGCGACGACGATTGGCGGACTACGAAACGAGCGACAGCCAGGCTTGTGTTGAAACGCTAAAAGCAACCGTCCGTGTGTGGGCTCTGAGCCCTGCCCAATCCGCCGACCCGCCGACCCGCCTTGCACAGTATTGACGCGTCTGAATGAACGCATACAGTAGCATAGCATGCTGAGGCTGCAGCGCAGGGTCTGGTGTCCCCCACATTCCAGACCTGCGAGAGCCGGGAGCACAGGCCTTGGCAGGGCGAGCCAAGGCAAAGGTGCGCGGGAACTGCAATCTGTGCAGAGCATTCACGCCTCTGGCTGCGGGTGATAAGCGCAGCTTTCGACTTGCACTCCAGTGGTGTGCAGCAAGCTCCAGTCGGAGCGAGCGGAGGGAACCGTGCATGGCGGCTTGGAGTGGCGGCGCATGGCTGAAAACGCGGTTGCGCAACGAAGCGGGATGGCAGAGCATGTGCGTGCCGTCACGAGAGGCGATGATGCGCATGCAGGCGGGATGTGACATGTGAAATAAGTCTCCGAAGCACGAACGCTGCGGCTAGCCACACGCACGCACGCACGCACGCACGAAGACAGCCAGCCGTCCCGATCCACAAAAACGTGCGAGCAACGCCGACACGACGAGAAAGAAAGAGAAAAAAAAAAA